TGGTAATGTACGTACCGTGTAGTGGCGGTATAAGGGGCCGTTCATTAATCACGTGATGTTTTTTCAATATTTTCTAACATCCCCCTCTCTCTTGGTGATACGTAGTTAGGTTTAAGACTAACCCCCCCCCCCTACGTAAGATCACGTGTATTTTTTTAGTATCTATAAAGTGTAATAGATCGATCGTCGCATGAGGATGCGTGAAGGACGAACACTGTGCATCTCTATCTCTAGACTATTATTGCTCGAATTAGGTTCATGCTGTGACATGAATTCACATGTAGTCACAGGCGAGTCAAGGTCACATTACACGCCGCTTTCGGTTTAGAAATCGCACGTTTGACAAAAAAATAAATACACGTGATAATCTGACTACACCCCCCTCCCAATGTGATATTTCGTGATTTTTGTTAAGCCCCCCTCCCTCCCCTTTCGAGCCTCACGTGATTAATGGACGGCCCCTAAGAATGTCGACTACCCCGTACTATCCTGATTAAAATTAAAAACTGTGGTTGCCAACCCGCTTGCCATGCGTGGCAATTATGGCAAATCTCTCTCTATGAGGTAATCTACGTGGGAGGTCTATGTTCCTTTAATAGGGTAACGATATGGTAATACCTATGTTACCATTTTGTATTTACGCATTGTATTACGTATTTACGTTTTATATTTGTATACAAAATTTTCTTCACAAGCACTAGTAGAATCCGATTGATTAATCTGAAGATTAATGGAATTAAATTCGTCTAAAACTTAGTATAATGAATATATGCAGCCAAATTCTAGCCTGCCTTGCCCAGTGAGTTTGGGCCATAGACCAATGAATCCAAAATTGTCTAAGATAATCTAAAGATAAATAATAAGGCATACCTTCCAAGAAATACGTGGCAGCTGTCACTATTGTTGAAATACCTAAGTTAATCTATGGGTGCGTTTGGCAGAAAAAAGCGCTAGCAAGCGCTTGTAAGCAAAATGGCGATCGTAAGCGGTAAGCGCCGTCAAATCGTAAGTAGCTATTTTCCTCTAGGACACGATGTTAGTTTTAACCGGGGAACTTAACCTAATTTAAGTATATTTTTGTGTAGTATTCATATTAAAAACTTACCAATCATGAATTTTTAATAACATGTATATGTCTATTCATGTCATTATATTACTTAAAACTAATATTGCAAAAAACAACTTATAAACTCTACTTCAAAACAAACAAATTAAATAATCAAAATGGCGGATTGTGTCAGCGCTACTGAAGTAGCAATCGTGTCCTGGCCGAAAACTATTTTAGCGCTAGTAAGCGCTTGCTAGCGCTTTTTTCTGCCAAACGCACCCAATGTGAATAAGCTTTTTTGGAAATAAATTTATGAGTATTTACTCTGAACGCGAATGACGAATTAATAATATTTCAACCACCATCAAGTAAAGCTTAAATCGTTCAAGTTCTGTATCAAGGACGACTATTATCCCAAAGGGAATGGATTTATCTTTAAACTTAATTAAAGCTATTCTCTCGCTCAGTAGTGATTTGGGTTCTAAATTTAATTTGAACCCGTCTTAAAATCCTACAAAGCGAATTTTGGTAGGTATTTGCGTTAGTGGTTTGATATCGATTGTAATCAGTCGTTGTATGAATTAGCAAGTTTGTATAAACTTGAAATGATTTTAGATTAAATCGCAAAAAGTCTTGTCATCATAAATATTTACTGTCCATTGCCGGAACAGATTTTTATTCGTGAGTAAATGAATAAAAGACTTTTTACAAAACCATGTCGTGGAAGCGAAAGAAGGTCAATTATCCTATTTAAATATTTGAGTATAATAAAAATTAAGACGTGGTGAGCCATGCTGCAGTTATATTAGAAGTATAGTTGTAGCACGAATGGGTCGGCTCAACCGGGGTAGGACCACGATCTCACAGAATACTAGCGTAAAATAGCAGCTTAATGCTGCTGTGTTTCGTAAGGTGAGTATAGAGAAGCGGAAACTCTTTTTACCGGAAACGAGGCATTCCATCTTAGTCCTCACGGGTGACAACGCATCTGCATTTTGATTCGTAATCGTGGCCAGATGTAGATGTCTATGGGCCACAGCAACCACTTACCATGAGGTGGACTGTGTGCTTGCTTGTCACCCTATCCTTTAAAAAATATGACGATGACGTAAGTAAATCTATACATCTATGAAAATGTTGGAACATGTTTATGGCTTCCAGTAGAATAGTATATTATCTCGTCTACGTCAAAGCACAAAGACCAGCAACGGGGAACAGTGTCATAGTTGCGAGAGTCTTGGTCTTGGTCGACAATTTGCCTGCCAAACGTGGCGAATAAGACAAATCCAGCTTAACGATAGAGACTCTTATCCGGGCAATTGTCTTTAACAAATATACGGTGAGGAAAGTGCAATATAGGAATTATCGAGTAAAGAAAGAAATACTGAAAGAAATTCATTTAATGTGTTATACAGTTCAATGTGTGGTCTTGATTTCATCAATACACTTAACTACGATCTTGTTACTTACCGCACAAGGAGTCAAGATCGTATCGCGGTACCGACACGCGGTTATATTTTCGATAAAGTTGCTGTCGTATCAACCAATAAAGAAAAGCCATAATTACAATGCTAAGGCCATATTTCCTCACTTTGAAACTAGTATTTAAGAATAAATATTTTATCTTTATTTATTATTTAAAAAAGAGAGAACGTTAAAGGAAATGCTGAGGTAAAAGCATAGAATACTATAATACATACATAGTAGAACAGAGGAGTGAGCGGTGCCCGTGTAACCACTAACATGTCAATTCACACGTATAAATGTCAACACAATCAATCGTTTCCAATTTTCGTGTCAAGCGTCGCCGCATGCAAATTATTTAAAAAGTGGCAAATTGTGTAATACAATTAATTACATATATTTACAAATACAAAGTAAGTAGTAGGTACTTATATGTAGTAATAACTGATAATAAGACGTAATTGCTTGTATGTGTGCTCCCGGCGACGCTAACCCTCCTACTAAATAAGGTTGACAGCAATTCTATTGTGTATTATAGTATTCTATGGGTAAAAAAGCTGTGCTGCCAAAAAACCAGATGTCTCAGCCGATGTTCAAACACTTTTGTCTTTCACGATAATCACTTAGGAGACGTATAAGAAAAACATGCGAATGGAACTAATTACTAGCGTTTCGCCTTTTACGAATTTATATGAGGCTGTCTTCAAAGCAACCGCAGCACTTAAGAAGGATTTCGTGCACGTCATATTTAGTATGAAAGATAATGGTGTCATGCGTCATGAAGTGCGAAGAACTTTAGTAGGGAGAATTAATTTTTTAATACGCATGGAAAATGGCTGATGTAGGTTACATTTTTGATTAAGAGTGTGCTGTAATAACAGTATTATAGGATTGAGATTCAACTGCAGTCGTAACATTTACTTTGTGGTTGTAGAATTCAGTAACGAGTTTGGAACTTGGAAACATTAATAATTTCTGCCATTTATTTATCTTATTCTGCAATTTGTGAGGAGCGCAATGACCCGTGGTAGCTCAAATAATTTCGTAATAAGCGAGTAGCCTGGATTCAATCCCTGTCGACACTATTTAAATTATTTTTTAAAGTATTAAATGCTAAATGACCTCGTAACATAACCTCGTGCTCGGCATGAAGGAAATATTTTAGGTAAATGTGATGTCCACCAACACGCACTAGTCAGTGTGGCAGACTTATTGCTCAATAGCTTCTCGTAAATGAGAGGTAGACAGACGTACATAGTCCTTAACACTTTATAATAATATTAATTTTAACATAACTCCACACAAAAAGAGGCAAAACTATATACAGTAGAGACGAATATTAACAAACCTTTCAGGCAAGAATGAAAATGGATATTAGTTTTAAGCCATGGTTTTATTGATTTGGTTCTGTATGATTTTTTAAAAGTCTTGTTTAGCTATTGTAATGAATTAATGCAGGATAAGTAGATAATAAATATCTGTGTCTCAATGTTATGCATGACGTCACAAATATTAGGTACCTATTATATTTTGTTACCTTCATCAGCCCGTAATATCCACTGCTTGACATAAGCCTCACCTACCCAATTTTGTCTCCTCCTGTGTTGTTTTGCACTAATTTGTTAAAGTTGTTGTCCTAACCGCACCAGCACGCTTGGCAGATGAATTGGCTATCGAAGTACCAGGGTGTTTGCACTTTTGACGTTGCTCTCCACCGTTGGTGGTATACATAATATATTTACTGTTTAGAGTAAAAGAGATGACTATACCGACATCAACCGGTGGCCATGATATTTCTCAGGTATGTTCCACAATCGCTTCCTACACTGCTTACTGGACGACGGCGGGTGACATTATATTTAGCCTGCTCAATATTGTAAGATGTTCTCCAAAGCCAATGTCATCTCTATCCTATGTAATATTCTTATTGAACAAAAACCCAACTCTTACCAAAAAATCCATCCAAAGTTTTCAAAAGAAAGTTTCAAAGACGGGTAGTAGCAAGGAAAACGACATAGGAAGTAGCAAGAAAAATGCAAGATCGAGAGTCTGATTCCACTTTACATTCACAATTTACCTGCCCAGGTTGTAGCACAACTGGGTCGGCCCGAGCGAGCTAGCACATTAATGCTGCCGTGTTTTGTATGGTGCGTATAGAGAAACGGAGACCCTTTTAACTGGAAAACAGGCAATCCGTCTTAGTCCTCAGGGGTGTCAACTCCTCTGCATTTTGATTGTTAATCAAGGAAAAATCTAGATATCTATGGGCCACAGCATGGACTTACTATTAGGTGGACTGTGTGCCCGTTTGTCAAACATACTCTATTTAAAAAAAGCAAATCTTCGATTTAAATGTGCCAGTTAGCGCTTTTTTGAAAAGGCATCAGTAGATCTAAAAGAATATTGTGACGATGATTTATAGATTATTAACGCACATTGTTTTATACAAACGGTTTTTCAAGACATTATGAAATTTTATTTTTCTTAGACTTGGTCTAACCCACGACGGAGAAGGAAAGTGTCAATTTGATTCTCAGCGTGGATCAGTAATGGCCCCTACTGTTCTCGCCACTCTGCATCACTTCGCTTGGTCCTCGTGTTCCAAGGAACAATTTCACGAGAAGTCAAAGTAAGTATATATTTTAACGCTACATGCCAATAATAAATTAAAAAAAAAACTTTTTTTGTGTTAATTTGTCAGTCTTGAAGGTTCGCACCTATCCGTCCTTTGTTTACGCATAGATAGCAAAGGCCATCCGAACGTATACGGGTGCATCTATAGTTCACATAGCGGTAATGCCGAAACAGAACGACTCATGGACCACATCCAAATAGCTACAGATTCCTTGTTACAACAGATCTCATTCGCGGAGATCGTGTTTTTTGGCAATTTTAACACCCATCACGCCAAATGGCTCGGTTCACGTTTAATCGATTATGAGGGGAGATCTTTTTATGACTTTGTCTTTGCATTTGGTCTGACAGAACTGGTTACTTCACCTAGACAGATTTCAGATGTAAAGAAGCACGCACCTTTCCTGTTGGATCTTCTGCTGAACTCTCATCCGGACGGATATCAGATCTACGTCGACGCCTCTCTTGGCTTGTCTGATCCAGAGTGTGGTGCCACTCATGCTCCCTACGCGGTTGCGTTCTACACGCTGCCGCCGTGTTTGGCACTACAGGTCAGCGGAATGTGACGAAACGGCGGTGGTGAGTTTGCTTCTCGCCGGATTATACAAGTTCTATTGCTGATTCATTTATTCCACCATCTGTGGTACCCATTGGAGGAAGATCTCAGCCTTGGTTCGATCGCTCCGTAATGCAGGCTTCATTATGCTCTATACAGGAGTATTATCAGGCCTGCGCTAACACCTTGGTCGCTCGGGAAGTAAACATCAGCGCCTTAAAAAGAAGTAAAATTCCGCTTTCTTAAAAAGCGTAATTGCAAAGGCAAAGTCAAAGCATATAGGCAGAAATACCGAGAAACTAGTTCGCCCTCCTTCTGAAACCTGTGCATTCTGGTCTCTCGCCAAGGCTGTCCAAGAGAACTTCTGTCAGCTATCTTTCAAATCTTTGCACAGCGAGACCGACTCACTGGCCCATGATGCAAAGGAGAGAACAGATCTGCTCGGTTCTCTCCTTGCGTCCAACTCGACCCTCGATGACGGGGGAAACAAATCGCCGACCATCCATCGATGGTTTGAGTGCTCCTTGCCATATGTGCGTTCACACAGCGCTCGGTTTGCATAGCACTACTCCCCCTGGAAGTCAAAAAATCGAGTGGGCCCGACGAAATCCTTCCAATTGTGCTGAGGACGTGTCCTCCAAACTTGTTGAAGACCACTTTCGTGCACCCGACCCCTAAAAAAGATTCAGAGAAAGTTGATTATTAACTGCCAGTTCACGCGGTATCTTTAGAAGCACCAGCTAATTAGTTACTGCCAGTACGATTTCCGTCGCGGTCGCTCGGCTGGTGATCTTCTGGGTTACCTAACTCATAAATTGGCAGAGGTAGTAGAGTCCAAGGCGGAGGCGTTAGCCGTGGTATGGACATCATTCACTTCTGAACTCCACTACTGCTGAACATAGGCCTCCCCCAAGTTATGCCACAAAGCACGGTCCTGAGCCACCTGTATCCATTGACTTCCTGCATGTCTTACCAGGTTGTCACTCCATCTAGTGGGGGGTCACCCTACACTTCGCCTATCGGTACGAGGCTGCCACTCGAGAACCTATCTTCCCCATCGGTTATCGGTTCTTCGAGCTATATGGCCGGCCCATTGCCACTTCAGCTTACTAATCCGTTGGGCTATGTCGGTCACTCTGGTTCTACTGAGGCACATCCTCATTTCTAAGTTTATCACGCATAGAAACCCCGAGCATAGCCCTCTCCATTGCTCGCTGAGCAACTTTGAGAGTCCTCATACGTCCAGCAGTGAAGGACCACGTCTCGGTTCCGTAGGTCATCGCTGGCAACACGCACTGGTTGTACACTTTAGTTTACAGGTTATGAGGTATACCTGACGAGAAGATGTGTCGTAATTTCTCGAACGCTGCCCAGCCGAGTTGAATCCGTCGATTGAGCTCTCGGTCGAAGTTGGACTTACATAATCGGACTATTTGTCCCAGGTAAACGTACTCGTCAACAACTTCGAGCTAAGTGCTCCCAACAACTACGGGCATAGGTGTGACATGTACATTAAACATGATCTTTGTTTTGTACGTGTTCATCTTAAGACCTATCCGTTGAGAGGCACTATTGACGTCATTGAGCTTAGTGCTTAAGTCCTCCAGTGATTCTGCCATAAGGACTATATCGTCGGCAAATCGAAGGTAAGTGATGTACTCGCCATTGACGTTAATACCGTATCCTTTCCAGTCCAGTAGCTTGAAAACGTCTTCCAATGCAGCGGTGAAGAGTTTCGGGGATATGACGTCAGCCTATCTTATACCTCTCTGCAGTTGGATAGGTTTCGAAATCTGGTTCTGTACTCGGATAGCCATCATAGCCCTACTGTACAAACACTTCAGCACTTCGATATACCGACAGTCAACTTGGCACCGCTGAAGGGACTGTTTCGACGGAATCAAAGGTTTTCTCATAGTCCACATGCGCCAGGCAAAATGGCAGATTGTACTCTTCGGACTTCTGTACAATCTGCTGCAGGGTATGTATGTGGTCTATGTTACTGAAGCCTTTTCGAAAACCGGCTTGTTCGGGACGCTGGAAGTCGTTGAGTCTGCGTGCGAGACGGTTCGTAATGACTCTTGAAAACAGCACGTACGGCTCAGAAGGGATATCGGTCTGTAATTCTTAAAGAGGGCGTTGTCACCTTTCTTGAAGAACAAGACCACCGCACTTCTGCTCCACGCCTCGGGAGTAGTGCCTCCATAGAGGACCGAATTAAAGAACTTCTGAAGGACTTCAAGTACCGGTTTTCCACCCGCTTTCAGAAGCTCATCTGTAATTCCATCCTCGCCCAAGGACTTGCCGTTTTTAAGGTGCTGAAGAGCCATTCTAATCTCGCTCAGACTGACATCCGGGATATCATCGGAATAGTGCCAGATAAGACTTGCTCTTGGATCGTTACTCACACTTGCGTGTGGCTCAAATGATAATGTGCACAGCTGCCCATAAAACCTCTCAATCTCACTGAGAATCTCAGGTGTCCCGGAAACGATGCTGCCACACTCAGTCTTCAGCTTTTACAGATGGCTCTTACTGGTAGACAGATCTCTGGCACAGACTTTGGAACCCTGGTTCCGCTCGATTGCTTCTTCAATACGAGCAGTATTAAGTTGTGCAAGTCTCGCCGCATGCATTTCGAGATCTGTCTGTTCAGTTGCCTGTATGCTGTCAAATCTGTTGACGATTGCAGCCTCATCTCCCGTCTAACAGCCATGAGATTAAGAGTGTGATCGGAGAGTTTTTGTGTTCTTCTGCGGTGGGTCTTGCACAACTTAGCTTCGACCGCATGGACAGTTTCCACGAGCTTGTTATTCATATCGTCTACTGCATTGCAATCTTCTAGGCAATGAAAGCGGTTACGTTACTCGAGCTGAAATGTTTCGGGATTCTGGATTAGAGCACGAAGGGGACGGAGCGTTAACTTCATTAGACGAGACGTTCGCAACTTAACGTTTAAGTTCAGTGTGCTTCTAACCATTCGGTGATCGCTGCTAGTTTTCGCCCTTGATATCACTGAGACATCACTGAACAGTTGGCGTCTGGTCGTCATAATGAAGTCAATCTCATTTTTTGTCGAACCCTCAGGGCTCGACCAGATCCACTTCCCGTGGGGTCGCTTCTTCCGATGACTTAAAGAGTTCATCATAAAAACTCCCTCTTTCTCCATAAAGTCGGCCAGCTGCTGGCCCCTACGGTTGCGTTGCCCTACTCTAAATTTCCCTAACTTCAGCTCACCGCTTTCTCTTGTGCCTAGTTTTAAGTTGAAGTCTCCCATCAACATCGTGTAGTGGGTTTTGGAGGAATGCATTGCTCTAGAAATATCCTCATACATTTTCTCCACCTCCTCATTGGGATGTACCGAGGTTGGTGTGTAAACCTGTATGACCTTCTGCGAATACCGTTTGGTGATTCTGAGTATCAGGTACGCGACCGTCGTCGACACAATCCCAATCTTTACAACGTTGTTGACAAGAGACTTGTGAACGATAAATCCGACACCTCCTTGGGACCGATGGTCACGCTCCCGGTGGTAGAACAAGTTGCCGGACTCGAGGATTACCGTGTCCTTCCCATCTCTTCGGACCTCGGATAATCCAATAATATGCCAGCGCAACTTGTCTACCTCTTCTTACAGCTCCAGTATCTTCTTGTCAGTACTCAGGGTGCGTGCGTTATATGTTGCCAGGTCGAGTCGTTATCATGGTCGACGTCGTATGGACATAACGAAGGCCTTCAATCGGGTTTCGCCCAAAGCGCTTCTTACGAAGCTTCCTTTCTATAGGCTTTCCGAGAAATTGTACAATTGGATCACCAGTTTTATTGTAGATGAGAGCATCAATGTCCTAGTAGACGGCACATGCTCCGATTACAAGCTCATTAACTCTCGTGTTCCACAAGGCTGCGTGCTATCACCAACGCTGTTTCTTCTGCATATCAATGACATGTATCAAACTGGTAACATTAATTGCTATGCGGACGATAGCACTGATAATGCTTTATACACCGGCCGTGCCGAAATTTACCGGAAACCGTCATTGAGTACCGGGGAAAAGTTGTGTCTGAAGTTGAGACTTTATTAAACAAAGTATTGGACTGAGGGTGACTAAATCTAGTCCAGTTTAATCCTCAGAAGACATTAGTTTACGCGTTTATCTAGGTAGGTATCTCCTCAGTTTCAAGGCACTCGATATCAGAATCCTTGCCGTCGACATATTGAGTAACGTGCAGTTTGTGATCAATTGGAAGAGAAGGCCAAATTGGCCTTTAAAAAGCTTGGCGTGCTTAGAAAAGCGGGACAGTGTTTCACGCCGACACATCCCCTGCAACTTTACAAGGTGCAGGTTTGGTCTCGCATGGAATACTGTACGCATCTCTGGGCCGGGGTACCCCAGTGCCAACTCCTTCCATTTGATTGCATAAAGCGCAGAGCGGTTAGAATCATCGACGACCGAGTCCTCTACGATCGGCTCGATCCACTGGCGCTGCGAAGAGATATTGCATCCTTTTACATTTTCCATCGCATCTACCACGCTGAGTGCTCTGAGGAATTCTTGGGGTTAATTCCAGCCGTCAAATTTCAAGAACGTACGTCGCATCAAAACTCACGATACCATCCACACCATCTGGATGCTTGACGGTCCACCACTGTACGTTTTACTATGAGTTTTCTTCCTCGTACGACCTCACTGTAGAATCGTCTACCACCGGCGATCTTTCGGAACCGATACGACTTAGGGACCTTCAAGAAAAGAGCATACTCCTATCTAAAAGGCCGGTAACGCACCTGCAGTTGTTCAACACCCCTGGTGTTTCAGATGTTCATGGGCCGCGGTAGTCATATACCATCAGATGAGCCACATGCTGTTTGTCCCTCTTCTATAAAAAAAATTAGCAGAGTTAGATAAAGGTATTGTTTATTTACTCGCTACCGATCACATTTTAAAAATATTTTGGAGCTTTAGGTAATACTACATTTTGCCGGTGTTAACTGAAAATTTGACATGCTATCTTCGATGAACAATACCAACAAGTTGATCGAAGCACAAAAGCTGAGGAAAATTCAACAGCTTAGTTAGGTGTCAAAGAAAAAATTAAATATGACTAATTTTATTTATCACTACTTCTAATAATTTGTTAATTTTCAAAATCTCTAGTATTAGATACATACAAATATAAATTTTATTTTACAGCCTCTCCATAGATACTTTCAAAAAATATGCTCAAAGGGTGGATATTTGCCATATTTGCCACTCATGGCAAGCGGGTTGGCAACCGATGATCTTTTATTTTAGTTGTTATTAGAAAGATGACCATGTAACACCTATGCCGGTAGTTGTTGGGAGCACTATGCTCGAAATTTTTGACGAATACGTTTACCTGGGACAAATAGTCCGACTAGGTAAGTCCAACATCGACCGAGATGTTAATCGACGGATTCAACTCGGCTGGGCAGCGTTCCGGAAATTACGACAAATCTTCTCATCAGGTATACCTCAAACTCTGAAAACTAGATTGTACAACCAGTGCGTGTTGCCAGTGATGACTTACGGATCTGGGACGTGGTCCTTCACTGCTGGCCGTATGAGGACGCTCAAGGTCGCTCAGCGAGCTATGGAGAGGGTTATGCTTGGAGTTTCCTTGCGTGATAGACTCAAAAATGAGCATATCCGGAGTAAAACTAGAGTGACCGATATAGCCCAACGGATTAGTAAGCTGAAGTGCCAATGGGCCGGCCATATAGCTCGAAGAACCGATAACCGATGGGGAAGAAAGGTTCTCGAGTGGCAGCCTCGTACCGGTAGGCGTAGTGTAGGGCGACCACCTACTAGATGGAGTGACGACCTGGTAAGACATGCAGGAAGTCGATGGATTCAGGTGGCTCAGGACCGTGCTTTGTGGCATTGCTTGGGGGAGGCCTATGTTCAGCAGTGGACTTCTGAAGGGCTGTAATGATGGTGAATGATGATGTCCATACTGTTACTGACTCTGTACATGACTGTTAATTTGTGTGTCACTCCAGTATGATACTACTAAAAAGAAATTGTAAATATTTTGGATGTCATATAGCATCAACCTAAGTAGGTAGGTATATTAAATTACATATTCTATAAAATATACATTATATCCAGGAAATGGTGGTGCTTACATGAACGAAGTCAAGACGAGGGTGTTGAGCTTGGTGGCGCTAAAGAACTCTCAAACTACGCATTCACTATGGATGAACAGTGTCGAACTGAATTCGGTGAAGGGTGAGTATAACATTCTATTCAAATCCATTTTTACAAAAAAAATTGTGTATGGCAGCTATAATTTCTTGAATGTCAACATTTTTTTGCATGTAAGTTATACATATTTTATCTCGATTAATACAAAGTATTTTAATAATACTTGTATACAATTTATATTCGATTAAGAAATCAATTGAGTATTTTATGTATGCGTACCTACATTTTTTCCGAGCATATACTGTTCTAAGAAGTATCAATTCTCGCGCATATAAATCGTATCTAAAAATACGTTATATTGCCCATCCTGTTATTAAATATACTTTTAATATTTGCTTGCTTTTCTGTGTATATGACCTTCTTGAAGAATATTTTTAGCAAATAAATTAATAGCATTAACTTGTAGTAGTAACTCATTGATTGGTGTTTTATTGAGTGTGAATATAAAGTCTCAGAAATCGTAGTATGTCATAAATCTATAGGATTCTGATGACGTTAAAGAATACATGAATAATGAATGATCTTTCCAAGCAGTTTAAAATAATTCATACAAATTATTGAAAATAATATCAATGTAAACTATTATGTTTTTTTATAAAATAATCTCGATGGATTTCTTGCTGGCCATTTTTTCACCGCAGGCAGGTAAAAGGTATTTTACAACCAGCGGTAGAATAAAAAGTGGCTTTAATTTTGTCATATTACGAGGGCGGCACTGAAAATTTCGGGAATCAAGGAAGTGACACAACATTACTATTTAAAAATGTATTTATTGCTTTTCGAATTATTCTCCGCGAAATTTGACACATTTTTCCATACGATGGAACCAATCATTGAACCAACCATTCCATTCGGAAGTTGGGGTCTCCAAAATGGCCGTTTTGTAGGCGTCCACAGCTTCTTCAGGTGATGAAAATCTCTGTCCACGCAATTTATTCTTTATTTTAGGGAAAGTATAGAAATCTATTAGAAGTAGAGAACTCGCATTGTGGTGATGGAGGATGATGCGGCGGTTTCAGTTCTCTTTACGGAGTTCAGAAACAACCTGTGGCTAACAAATGCTAGCATACTGTTCTGCATTAACCGTTCTTTGTCCCTCAAGAGGAATAGTCGTAACATGGCCGGTTTTGGAGACAAACGTGGCTACCATTTTTTTTGCAACACTCCGTGAACGAACAATATTTGTTGGCTTTAATTCATTTTCGAACACCCAAACTTGTGACTTGTTTCTTGTTTCGGGTTCGTACGCATATATCCAGGATTTGTCATCTGTAAACGATGTTGTGTACAGCATGTGAGGATCCTGCGTGGAATCTTTCGAGAGTTCTGACGCACAAAGTAACGCGAGCCGCTTTTTGCTCTTCACAGAGCGAATGCGGTATCCATCGGGAAAATAACTTTTTGCACCTAATTGTTCATGCAGGATTATTTGTATTTGACTCATGCCATGTCTAAAGTTGGCTGAATTTCGCAGTATGTCACATGTCGATCTTCCTCAATCAGCCTACGCACAGCATCAACGTTTTCTCGGGTGACTGCAGTTTTTGGAGTACCTTGACGGGGATCATCACTGAGCTTGACACGTCCACGTTGAAATTCAGTAAATCAGCGACAAATTGTGGTTTTGAATGGGAGTTCATCACCAAATGCAGAAATCATCCGGTTAACCACTTCGAAAGTCATAATAAATCATCGCTCTTTAATTTTCTCAAGTCAATTCTATTTTCTGAACGACTAAACAAGTTTGACAAAACCTTGTGACAAGACCGAGAATCTTTTTTTAAATAAATAAATGGTATTCGATTTTTAAAACCAAGGAGTTTTTAATTAAAAACAGCCTAGGTACAATCTACATATATCGAAAAAAGCTCTATTATATTCTATAAAGCATTCGTATTTCCATAGTCTACTCACCTTACTTAGTTACTTGGAAGTGAAATTACTCTCGCAGTACCAGTCATCAATATACAACACGGTTAATTCGCCATCGTCTAAATATTATTTGACTGTCTCCTCGACCGCCACTGAATGCGTTTTTTTCTATAACAAAATTTATCACAAGTAACAACGAGTTCCACTATCTACATTTTGACGAGTACACTCAGTGTTAGAGTTTACCAACTGAAGCGCTATAACAAAAGTACTGTGATTGTCATCGGCTCGTAAACAATCCAATAATGGACATCTTCTTCTTCCTGCCCTTATTTCAGATTATTGTGGGTCAGCATAGCATGTTTTTCTCTATTTTTATAGGATAGGGTGACAAACGAGCACACAGCCCACCTGATGGTAAGTGGTTGCTGTGGCCCATAGACATCTACATCTATCCTCGATTACGAATCAAAATGCAGATGCGTTGTCACCCGTGAGGACTAAGATGGAATACCTCGTTTCCAGTAAAAGGGTGTCCGGTTCTCTACACTCACCATACGAAACACAGTAGCATTAAGCTACTATTTCACGCTGGTATTCTGTGAGAGCGTGGTCCTTCCCCGGTCGAGCCAACCCATTCGTGCTACAACTATACTACTAATTTAACTGTGGCATGGCTTTACCATGTTTAAAATTATTAGTGTCATTTGCTTGCCTTTACTCTTATATCCACCCACTTTCAAATCAAACATTATTCGTACTAAATTATTTATTTTACTTCACATAAATTCTGGATACTGAACATATGAATCTCTGGTCCAAACTAGACCTTTTTTATCGTGCTATGTGGGTGAATAAGTGATCGCAAGGCCAATACGTGAAACGTTTTGGTGAAAAAGATCCATTGATGAGAAACAACAGTTGAAGATGCAAAATACCTTGCTGTGGGCTAAAATACGATCGATGATTAACTGATCACAGGTAGATAAGAAAAAAAAACATATTAATGCACGGTAGAAACATTCAACCAGAGCGAGCACTTCAGGCGCGGTAAAACCTTGTTCAACACAAAATGTCATTTTATTACTATGCGGTTGCGTATTTTTTTTTTGATTTAGTACTCTGATTCCGCATCAATTGTATGCATTAAGGTAAATAAAGTTATATCCAACGTAAGTTGATTCATATTACCCCACCTCAAATCGAATTTCAATTAAAAATCAGTATTTTTATTGTTATACTGTTTCCGCTCCGCTGTTTGATCCGGACTCGCTGGGTCATTTCATAAGCTTGCGCGGGTCCAACAAGCAGAGGTCATTTGGAGAATGCTACAATACTTTGTAAAGTAATGTACTTTGAAGGAATCTACCATATTATGAATTTATCAAAAGAAGACCGACAAAATGCAAAAAATGCAGAAAAAGGGTTAATAATTATAATTTTGGCCTACGAGAGTGTTGGGAGGTTCAATGGGTTGGATTCTATTGGCGTGAGACTTAGGATACCTGCTGCTATCATGTCTCAATGGATAAATGTGCATCATTGGTGTAAATGGTTAAGGGGGTAACGTAGAGTTGAGTCTGCGGGCATCTTCTGCCTTATGCAGCCAGCATCTTCCCGGCGTTAAATTTTCTTTTAACGTAAATTATATACTGAAAGTAACTGTATCTGAACAACTTTGTTAATGAAGTTTTAAAACTCAGGTGTTTGGTTTACCATACATTATTGACGCCTGTCATAATCTTATTTTACTTACTTTTTTTTCTCCGCACAACCAACAGGGTAGCCAGAGAGAACAGAAATCATCCTTACATACCTTTTAAACAAAATTAATTTGAAATATCAGTAGTATTTCTACAAATTTGATAACAAAAATAATTATTAAATCTTAAATAGACGTGAGTTTCATTGAGATTATTTCTGTAAACAAGTCTAAATATTCACTATCCCTGACTTTCATGTCGAAAACATTTCCTTTATGCATTTCTCTCAACATCTCGAACATTGCTTATCAAAATATTGATACGTTGTTTCCTGTTGATGCAATAGAATGGGGTTATTTCGAATGATTTATCATTTTAACTAGAATTCAGATGAATGTTGCAATCGTTACAATTCTGGATTTTATAATTATTGTTTTACGTTATTTCAAATTATACAATCCATATTGTTAGAGCCACGCTACAGCTATATTCTAGTTGTAGCACGAATTGTTCAGCTCGACCGGAGAAGGACCACGCTCTCAGAATACCAGCGTAAAATAGCAGCTTAATACTGCTGTGGTTTCTATATATATATATGTATATATATATATGTCGCGCGCTCTGAATTGATGGGTGTGATGCGTGATAGGTATGGTATGTATATATGTATAATGTATACAACATGTAGCTACTGTTGTTTTCGTAAAGTCAATACGAGTATCGAGCACCGAAGACCGTTATTTTACTCGTAAAAAGCAATTCATCTTAGTTTTGAGAAGTGTCAACGTATCTGTATTTTGAATATTAATCGCGGGTAAGGATGTAGATGTCTATTGTACTAGCTGTGCCCCGCGGTTTTACCCGCGTATATCACGCGACATGATACCTCGCGAGGCGTTCACCGGTGATTCTCATCGGTAGGCTAGGAACTATACAACTATATACATAGCCTAACTACGACCTATAACAAAAACAATTGACGAAAACCAACCAATCAGCAGGCAGGCTTTATGAAAAAGTATTCCACGACAGATCACATACATACAGTCAAATTTATTATAGAAAAATAAACATAGCATGATTTACCTCTATATATAGCCTTCATGGATTTTTCAAAAACTTTCGATTCCATAAAACATCATTCCATTTGGCACGAATTAAACGAGCACAGAAGACTATGTGGAGTTTATTAAAGCCTGGTTAGTTTGGATTCAAAAGGACCGATATTCCGAGTAGAACGAGGGGTAAAACAGCGTGACAATTTTCGTGACGTGACGTGACGTGACACACCCACTTTCAGCAAAATTATTCATCTCTGTATTAAAATCAATCTTCTCAATTGGAAAGATATGGGCATGAATATAAATGGTTTGTACCTAGAATACATGCTAGAGACGCTGAGATACCATAGCGAAATAGTCGGACTACAAATAAATAGGGGCAAAACAA